ATTCACTGATACATACAACCCCCTATACATACTAAAAAAATACATATAAAACAATTTAAAAAAGGAAACAAAATAAAGTAAGAACTTGCTCTACAATCACAGCAACATAATTGAGAAATGTTGTCACCTGTGTATGGATAAAAATTGTGTCACGCTGCAGTGGTAATCATTCAGCGTTAGAGGCAACCCAACAGGCAGTCGGAAGGGGGGGGGGGGCTCTGGAAATGCCTTTGCTTGGCATGGGCCATGGGTAACCTCACTGTGAAATGCCTGCAGAGAGGGAGGCACTTCACCTCACAACCCTCTCAGGTGTCCATATGGTCAGTTAAGTGCAAGACTTAATGTGCCTTGGGTCACGACTAACTACACAATATAGTCCACCCTGCATGCTTGTACTCAGGTGCAAGAGTAGATATAATTACCCTATTTATTTTTTATTTTCTCTCCATAATAAATAAACCTCGGTTTGTGAGAACCAGGCTTACTGCTACTTTGGAATAAATGCTGTGAGCTGGTTGTAGATACAAGGAGAAAAAAAGTAGGGCTACAAGGAGGTTTAGTAAAGACAGAGATATCTTAGGGGGCTTGAGCCGAAGTCACATTGAGAAACCCAACTTCCAACATTGCTACAATGCTGGCCACAGTTTACAGGAGAGAAACACACACTGAAATGAAATTGGCATTAAAAAAAAAAAATCTCTCATCTGCATGTTACCATCTAGTACAAAACGCAAGAGTGAGATACAGCTAATCATTTCAATAAACTACATTTCTTTTTTTTTTTAACAGTACAGGTTTGTATATACACAAATAAGAGTCAGGCCACAGTGCTTTGGGTTGCTATTGTAAGTGTTGATTCTTGCATTTATTTCAGTACTGCTACCTTTAGCAGTTTTACACCTCTGTTTTCATTTCCTTTTAAATCACTGGCTGCTGATACTCTGCTATTTTGCATCCCACATACCAAGACTTGCTTCTTCAGCTGAATTCAATTCTTTATACAAGTCAGAAATCTGACCCTTGGTTCACTTTTCGTTGTACTGATGTGCTCTTTCAAGCAGAAATGGTCTCTGTATTTTCTTCAGTCTAGCAGAAAAACCAACCCCAACCATGTTTCTTCTTTGGCCACCACTAAATTACTACTACAATGGGCAATTTAAAGGCTGAAGTACATCCTGTCTGCTGAAGTGTTCACAGTAGATTAAGGGGTAACTCAGGGCTGTGAAATGGCATTTAAAACTCTCTTCTGTTAGATATTGACCTCAGTGTAGTGATAACTAATCCTCACTGCACTCACAGAGCGAACTGTGCTCCTGGACTATGTTTTAACATTTCCACAGGTAGTCAGTCTCATTATTTTTCCAGCTCAGGTTTTCTAGCTGTTCCCCTCAGTTAACTGTTTGGGTTTGTCATTTATTAATGCTCATGGAATCCAGGTACTTTCAGGTATACCGCCAAAACCCTTTTTGTCTCCTGAATCGAGCACAGTCCATCAAATCTCCTGGGTGTTAAATTATGAAAAAGATCAAGGGAGTCACTGATAGGTCATTTGTGAGAAAATGCATTTTCATTGTTTGGCTGGCTGAGAAGCTAAGAAAACAAACATAAGGATCACACATCTATATAGAGAGCAAAGTTCCTTTTCTTACTGAATCATTGCTACTTAACACACCTGGATACCCGAAACAAAACTATTTCCTTATTTGCTGCACATTTCCTCCTTCAAGCATGTGCATCAGGTGATACTGTAGAGCTGTTTAGGAACACTGAGAAACTGACATGCATTTTGACTCATTATAGACACCAGACACGAGTCAAATCCTTACTAAATATCCTTTGAGTGACTAAGAAACATGCCATTACAATAATGACCTTCCAAAACACATGACAGAGTAACTGGTTATCAGAAGTGTGTTTTCAAAGGGAAGTACGGAATGATAGCCAGGGCTTCTTGACGCCATGGCATCCTTATGCATCACAACCAACCAAGTCATCTGGCAGCTCATCAGCCTGACAGAAAGAGGTTGGAAACACCACATGAAGCTTGTCATTATACTCCAAATTTCAGGTTTAACAGTAACAGCTGTCAGTAAATTTCCACAGAACCCTTGCACAACTGTAACACTAGCCAGACAAGTATTTCACAGATTGAAGATTACCAAACAGCTTTTAGTCACATACCTACTTTCATTTACTCATGTGTTTGTATGTTCCTTTTCGTTCCCTAACTAAAAAAAAGTCCCCATCATCTGGTAAACTTGTTCAGGACAGAGGACGACTCTTCCCAGAACAGTGTGTTTATGTGTAAGTTAAGAATATCTCAGTCCAACAGCCAAACATTAAATGACGATCAGTGTCATGTGAAACGATCACATTTCTTTCTTGGAAGATAGGTATACTATTCGTAGATGTTTGTCACTTTAAACTGAAAGAAGAAATGACAGCAGCTTTATGAATAGCCTGTGTTTAGACATTACAGAATACCTACTCTTTTTCTCAAAGCATTTTAATGCCACTGTATTAAAACTGAATGTGACTGGCAGTGCTGGTGGAAGTTAGCCATTTATTTTAAGAACATATACCAGTCTCCACATCAGGTGACAGAGTAGGATCTGAAAGACTCTCCACCTACATTCTTACTCTTTGCCAAGGAAGATGTACCAGTGTTTGTACCCAAGTTTAAATACTCTGCCCCCCACCTTTGTCAATACCTGCTCTTTTAAATAACCTTCCCCTCCTTTCAGTGCTTACTGAGCCTCAGCAGAATTAGGGCTTCTGAATGATTATAGACGCTATAGAAATTATTACTAGAGTACAGATTCATACCCCACCTGTGGGCAATTTACACCTGATAAAGTTCATGCTTTCACAGCACAATGGGAGTTTTTTCATTCCATACCTTCCTCCACAGATCTACTGAGATCAATTATTTCAACACAACATTCCCAAGCACAGCCTTTGTTCAGGTGCAGAAGTGAAGCAGGCAGTGAGATTTAGAGTACCATTAATCATTAACCACCAGTATCACTACTATTACCTGTCCTAAAACACTCTAGCCCCAACAGTATCAAAACATTTTCCTTACATATGCAGTGAGAGTCTTCCCACGTTCAAAAGTAAAAAAAAAAAACCCGCATTTTATGCTGCAGAGGAACAGCTGATTTTGCTTTAACACAAAAGGTAACAAAATGATAATCGTGGAACTGCTTTAAAGCACCAAAATTAAGTCAAAAAATTCATCCTGGAAAATGAAGTCAGGGGGCATGCCTGTGGTCCCTTATTGGAGGTAAATACAGTGGCTGTGTTAGTAACTTATCACATGAGCATCAGCTGACTGGTGGGATGCACATTATCCTGATTATTTCTGATAAACAATTTTTATGCATTATCCAGCAGTGAATGTATCTTCCTCCAAGGCAAGATATGCTCTATGCTCTGTCCTTCTCCTTGGGAAGGATAAATCAGGCATATATAACATCAGTATTTGGATGGTGTCCCTGACAGTAACTCCACCGGCACACCTGAGCAAAGATGTGGCCAGAATGGTGTAGTCTGTGTACTGGCTCTATGACAACAGATCCATTGGGAATTAAGTTCTGTAGGCAAAAGAAAAAGCCTTTGAAGTTAATTGCTTTCTTTAGCTCCCTTTAAGCACATTGGTGTTTGCTGGCATTTTTGTCAGGCCATCAAGTAGTTATCTGTATTCTAACTGCTCATGCAAGTTATCTTAAAAGAAGTTGGTATATCCAAATATGAAATAAGGACATAGGCAGGCTTAAGCATTAAGATGACACCTATAAGAACTTAGTACTGATTTTGCACCTCAACCTCTACAAGGTCACCAACAGGTTAGCAAGTTTAGCAATAACTAACACCAATAAACTATCACAAAAGCAACTATTTAATTCTGTACATGATTTTTATTATTTACATAATACAACATAGCATAGATGTTGTGTAGCATGATTATGTGTAATACATAAATATGAACTATCTGTACACATTTTCATTTCTAGTAACTCAGAATAACAAAGTGAGAAGCAAAAACCTGGTGCTTTTAATAATGAAGAAAAAATTGAGACTGAACAGTGCAATAGAAACAAGGTCAGGAGCAGCTCCTTGTGTACATGTGTAACTATTTACAGATGAGAACAGGCATTAACCACAACACTAGTCTAAACTGTACTTGTGTATATAAAAAAACCCCACAGGTCTCATACATCACAAAAACCCCTTCCAGTATAACACAAAAGTGATATTACCAGACAAGCATCAGTGAAGTATACTGCCTTTTCTAGAGTTGTTATTGTACAATGCTGTAGATAATGCAGCCCATGCAATACACCCAAGAACACTACAGTCCCTACACCCAAGTACAATTGAAAGTGATAAAGCAGTCCTCCAAGAATGGTTCCAGCTATCACGTAAGTCTACAGCAGCCATTTTGGGTATGGTCTTCCATGCAGAATGGTGCAACTGTTACACTTAACACTAGTAAAAATTAACTCCTAATGTCCTTTTGAACCGAGAACACACAGAACGTAAGTAGTATATGAATAAACTGCCCTAAGGCTTCAACTAAGACACATGTTGCCTGCTAGAGCTGCTGCGGTGTGTCTAAAGATGCATGTAACTCTTCCGGTAAGCCAACATTACAATATTTTGTTATACAATGTTTTCAGCTACACAAAAATCAGACAACTCTGTTGAAGGCCAGTTCATAAGTTCCTAGCAGGACATTTCCTTTGGGAACCTATTTTCACAATTCTAAAGTTGACGTAATCGTTTCCAAAACAGTTTACTTCTCATATGCATCTAATTTCTTTCATTTTTTTTTCAGTGCAATTGGTAAGTGACTTAAATATGGCACCAACACATCTTACTGGGATGGACCCCTCTACATAGCTTACATGGTGCTGGAAAACAATGGACTGTGGAAACTAAAATTAGAATGAGATTTTAAATGATAGAAGTAGACTGCCAATCTTTTTGATGTATCCTTCTCTAAAACAGACACAAAACACTAGCCAAAGATTATATACCTTACATATCTCAAAAGGCAGATCTGCTGCAAACATGCAGATAGCATACATCTGTTTGGCACGTGTAAACTAGAGAGTCTGTCCTCAATGCATGTGTATTCCTGTGCAGGTTCGTGATCATCCAATTACATTCTGGGGAGGGCATATATATTTTCAAGGGCTGTATCTATCCAATTCTGCCTGTAACAAATACCCAAACATTCTGAAATATCCGTAAGACAGACAAGACTAGAAGTAAAACTTTGGAGAATAAAGGATAATGGCCATGCACCTGCTCTTTCATGTTTTCCTAGATTATATTAAAAAGAAAACAGTAAGTCAGACAGTCTCTCCACAAGCAGGTTAGTTTATATTCTCTGGATTTTTTCAGCCACCACAACTGGATTCTCTTTCCTGATTTTTGCTGCAGCTTCTGCTTTGTAATCATACGGGCAGTTATGCTTGTCAGAGTAACGGTGAAGTCCACAAAATAAGTTTCCACATCGGCAGTCAAATCCTGTACATAGAAAAAGCAGCAACATCACTAGGAAGCTTCATATTTAACTAAGTTAAAGGCTCAGTCACTACAATGGAGGTATGTTTTGTCTACTCTGACATATTGAATAGAGAAATGAACAGCTGTAATAAGTTGTTTGGATTCTGAAGAAGCAAGTTTAACAATACAGATATCTCATATCAAGTTTAACCTAGCAAGAGGCAACTGATCATACAGATCTGTTCAAAATTGACAAAGTGTTCTCATACCTGTAAGGCCAACCTTCTTTCTGCACATGAAACATCTGTTTTTCTTTGGTTTGGGCAGTTCAGGAGCTCTCTCTTCACTCTGCGAAGCACTAGGCTGAGAAACTGATGGGCTTGGTTGAGTAACAACTGTTAAAGCAGACAAAAGAAATAAAGGTTAGGTTTCCTTTTCTTGACTTCACTAGCCATTCATTAGCATGCATCTATTTCTTAAGGATTAATTCCCCCTACTATGATACTGGTGTTTATTGTCTGAAGTACTACATAGACTAGTCTACGAAAATGTAAGTCAGGAATAGGAATTTTTAGGTACTCTGTTCTTCCTCTACACAACACAATCAGATCTTCCGCACAGTTTCACTAGCTAGAAAATATAAGGCACTTATTCATTACTCCTACACACATGTTAAGGGCTTGGAAAGCACACCAGAAGTTCCATGTACACATTCAATATTTTAAAAATAATATGATCAATAACATTTAATCAAAAATAATATAGTCACAGCTGAAGTTGCTGAACAGAAGGGATACCTGCAGAGAATGTAACTAATAGGAACATATTTTAGAAACAGATGAAATTCAGTAATGTGTTACTATCATAGTACTGGGTTACTCTGCCACTACACTTGTGACATCAGATGCCTAAAACAGTTCATCAAGACAGCAGATAGCAAGCCACTGATTGTATGAGATCCAGAACAGAGCTACAAAACACACGCAGTTCAAAAGAACTCTCATGCTTGGTATTTTCAGTAATTTAGTGAACCAAATACAGATTTACATTGAATTACTGTATTTCTGCACTGTATTCAGCTTTAGTGTTCAAGGAGGTATAGTCAAAATGACTAATTTTTCAATTGCCTCTGTCATGAACACTTTCAGACAAACTTTTTGTCAACTTTTACTTAAGTTCTCTGAAGGATAAAAATCCTCCCTTTTGGGGAACTTTTGTGAACCCGTTCATCTTGTTGAAAAAAGTATTTCTTTCCATCAAATGCACTTTTAAAAATATTGTCCTTACATCCAACCTGGAACAGGGGAAAGCTGAGAAAGGTGTGTTTGTACACAAATAACATCTGCTCCCGGTACTGCTGGAAGTGTTAAAAAAAATGTATGATGACACCTATTGTTTTAAAATAGAACAAACTACAAAATGCAGTCTGTACTCTTCATACTTCATGTTTTTTAAACTGGCATTTGCACTACCATATTCATAGGTATTCTAAAAACCAGCTCACTATTGCCACTAGCACCTAAAAAGCCTCACAATTCACTGTACAATATGACAGCCCCTAGTCAGGACTTCATAATCTGAACAAGATGACAAGCTGTCAGAGGTAACAAGGAACCTCCAGTGCTGATCACCAAAAAATTCTGTGCAGTAAAATAATGGTGGCTCGTATTTTCATATACTTTACTTACACATTATAGCAACAGTCCTAATGAACAACTAAAGCCATTTACTACCTTTATTTTTTTGTCACCTTGCATAGATCTTTTCCTAAAAAATTTGGGAAATTCACTGTTAGTGCTCTTTTGCCAAGTCTGAAGGATAAGAAAAGCGTTACAGCACTAGTACTACAGTTGCTACTTTTTGGAGTAATTCATGCTGCTGATTTCGTTTTTTTTTGAGAAAACAATTTCTTTGTCTTGATTATTAACATTTTCTAGATGAACAGATATGTGTAAACCTGTTGGATACTATGCACCTTGGCTAACAGCCATCAGCTATGGCCTTAAAAAAAGATGACCAAACACCTCCCAAAAAGCATGGTCAAACTCCTTTCATATTTGTTATATTGCTAATTTGTTTAAAAATTTAATGCTAGTCATAAGCCATGGCAGATAAAAACAGGAATCAGAAGTGCTCACACACTTTGCAATTTGGTGTATAGCTAGTCAGGGGGAAGCTTCATCTGCATCAGAACCACCTTATAAATATGAGCCCCAGGAACATGCATGCTGTTTCAATCAGATGCAGAAGAAAATGCAGAAGGAGGGGCAAATCAATGGTGACCTACATAATTAAAATCAGTCACAACTGAGAAGAGCACTAAGAGAAAATGAAAACAAGAAAAGGAGCAACATTTATCACTGCCTAACATGCCAACAAAGAAGCAACTTCTCAGGAATCAACAGGCCGAAGAGACAGCCCAGTAGATCACTCTACCACAAAACAAAGATGCTGAGAGCAAACCCATCTAAGGGAAAATGTTACCAACTACCAGAGGTATACTTCCTTCTTTGCATAAAGCAACTGTGGCAACTGGCAGCCCAGGAACTGAAAAGTGATAAAGGTGTGCCTCTATACTTTCTTAGGATCATTTCCTGAAAGGGCTGTTGAACAGGATCCTTCCCCCACAACCAAAACATGTTGCAAGAAGGAAGAGCAGTACACAACTCGCAGTAACGGGCACTAAAAGGTCCCAAGACAAGATGGAACATAACACCCTAAATCCAAATTAAAATTTTCAATTTATTACTCTCCATGAATAAAGGATTCTCCTATTCTTCTACACCAGCAGAGTTAAGTCTGATGACTTTTATCTGACTTAACTGACTTTTTATCATGTTAAACTTCTATAAATGTGTTTCTAAGTAATGGCTAGGACAGAGGCAAAGCTGCCCAGCATAGTCCTTACTTAAAGCTCAGAACAGAAGTCCTTTCTCTTCAACCTGTGGTTCAGGTGAAAAATACTGTAAATTGTTCTGCTAAGACATCAGGAGCCAATATAAATGTCAGATACTATCCTGACAAGTGCTTGTCACAAAACGCTTCCTTCAGCACAGAAGCCAAATCCAGCCGGGCAAGTGCAATTCCAGTCCTCAATATACTGAGTTCACTTTATGCTAGAAATCAGTGTTAATTATCAGGCAAAGTGCTCTAAATGATTACGGTATGTTCACCATGGAATGAGTAACTGAACAAATGCTGAAAGTTGGAAAATGGTTGGTTACTGGTATCTGCAGACCTGCTTCCCCAGTAACAGTGTTCAGATGAAGCAAACTACTAGAACAGGTTTTATCACTTTAAGAGAGTTTCTGTTGGCATATAACTCCCTCTATCACCTTGGTCATTTCCCTTCAACTTTTGGCTCAAGAGGTTACCTGATGAGGTTTACTTCAATTTTACCAGACCCGTTCTTCTATTACCAAGCGCCAAAAAAAAAAAAAGACCAAAACTCAAAACTTAGGAGCAACAGATTTTCAGAACTGGGAAGGCCTTTATTAACTATTATTTCGGTCTGAAATGATCTGTCAGCCCTGTAAGATCCATTACCATCACACACAAGGAAGATTATCACCAATCTGCTAGGATAATAAAGATTAACATAACCCTAGTATGAGAGAGGTGCCTGAAAAAAAAAAAATACAGACATTGCATCATGAATTTGGGAAAATTTCCTTCATGTGTAGTCCGAAAATAAGACGCATCTTTACAAAAAACCATGTGGGACCAGCAAGGCTGCTGGTGACAGAAGTTAGCCACATGCCACAGCATGACAGTTATTCAACCTATATGCAGAAAGGTCCTACAAACAGGAGAACAAAGTTCTTCTCAGAGCCCAAAGTATTAAGCCACAGTGACTATGTGGGACTGTCACTAAAAATTAAAAACAACTCCAAGAATGGGATTTTCAAAATCGACAGTAGTTTTCCTTATATAAATGAGTATGGCTGCTGCAAAAGACTGTCTACTATAGCTGTTTTCACATTGAGATTTCATACCTGAAAGGAATGAATCCAATGTTTCAGTTGAACAAAACCTGATGAAAATAAAGCAGTATTACTTTTTAACCCTCCTCATACCAAAAAATAAAAAGAGGTACTGAAGTAACACCAGGAAGTTTTTAGAAGCTTCTCTGACTAAACAAAAGTTAACCAAAAGTAAGATCCTAGAAGCTTAAACTGCATGACTTTCACAGTACTGGTGTTGTCCCAAATACACGTTCTTCCACCCAGTGCTGAGTGAGCCAAAGCACACACAGAGTTGAGATATTTGCTTTTATCCCAAATCTGCATAGAGTTGGGTGCCAGGTGGTAGGGCCACAAAGATAGCACAGCTCTAATACACTGAAAAATGTAAGCATTCTGAGCAAGAGTTATCAATATTTTTTGAAAGTTGCTCAGTCACCCTTATTCCCATTAGTTCCCACAAACCCATCTCCACTTAAAGTCACAGCATCCTTCTGTTTTACTGCACACGGTCAGTGAGGAAGGGGCTTCTTATATTAAGGGGCTTTCCTCACATGAGGGCAGGTTTCTATTATGCCAGTTTTATATTAATTAGATGTTAATGAGGATAGTTCACTCAAAGTTCAGTAGCTGCACTCCTTTTGTGGTTATCTTGTTCCTTCCCTCAAGGTTGAAGCCTTGTTAACTACTCAGAGACTAAACAATACCATCAGCTTCATACCTCACATACCTTCAAACACTAGTAAGTGGTAAACAAAGTGGAGCAAAACCTTGAAAGCATAAAAATAATTGGTGTAAACGTTTTGACTTGATGGAGCTAATCCCCAACTCCCACCACAGAAGAACTGGAAAAGTTAAAACAAGAGAGAAAAAAGGTAAAGTCAAAAGTCATCAGATATACAGTAGACTGCACTTCTGCATTACCACAGCAGAAAACTACTACAGACTGTGCAATCCTTATATTGCATATTAACACAATGGACTTGTATACAAAACTTTAGTCTGAAAAAATGGACAGTACTTATTATGCTTCATCAAGCTTCCTGAGTGTGCCAACCCAGGTGCCCATAATGAAAGGCTGCAGAATAAACTTCCATCACATTTAATTTTATGGCAAAGAAAGGGAATAGAAGTGTTCTGCAGCATGCACATCTCCTACATGCTCAACTGACAGGCGTATTGAATATCTGTACTGTTATGTTAATACAATGTACAGATATCCCAGTTTCAGTATCAGACAGAAATATGGTTTCGTTTGGTCACCATGAAGATGATGTCTGTGGTATGCTTCTGTTGCAACTGCCTACAGAGAGCAACATAGTTAAAATGCTATAGCCATGTGTGAAAACAAGTGAGAATTAACAATGCACTAATTAGAACAAGATCTAAGGAATACCACGTAGTTACCATCTTGAGCCTGCCCATCTCATAAGCTAGCTGTCTACTCGGCATACTACTTACAACATTACCTGCAACACACTGTACATATCACTGATAAAACACACTGGTCCTACCTACAATATAAGTTAAGGTTACCCATACTAACAGGGTCTCAACCTGAATGCAGGATAGCTGTAAAGTAACTCAAATCACACTGGCTTGGTAGAAAGCCAAGAGACAAATGAGCTAACCACCATTGCCTGCTGTCTTCTGAAGCTGACTACTTCAGGAACAGAAAGGGTAAGCTACAACATGGATGGAATTATACAGTACATTAACAGTATTTGGGTATGTTTTTTAAATACGCAGTTTACACAAGACCATAATCAGTTCAGTTTCTGTTCACTTTCTTTATAAGCAGTACTACTCTGCAGCTGTGGCTTCACAAGATAATAGCTAGTAACACTACTCCCTAAAACAGAGCTATTATTGGGTTTAACACACAACCCCTCAAAAAAGAAAACCCAAGCCTCTTACACACATGCCAATACTAATTACATCTGGAAACACTGACAGACCTGACTGGGAGGCTCATCATTCAACAAGGTAATGACCTACAAAAGTGCAAGAAAATGCTAAAAGTATGCTGTAACTTGAAACAATATGATTGTTTGAACACTTTTTTTGTAACAGTTTATTTTTAGTGGTTACTATGTAAGACAATTCTTTCTTGTACAGATCTTTTATTTCCATTTGAATACCTGCTTAAAAACACACACAATTTTTTTTTTTAAGGAAAGGCTACACTATGCCTTACCAACTTGGTAGATATATTGTTCTAATAGTGTAACACAAAGAAAAGAAAGCAGTTTTCCAGGTTTGCATTTAATTCCTGCAACTCAGCACAGCAAAAAAGCAACTATGAATCATATTTCTGGAATCCTTTGGTTATAGTCTGACTTTGGTCAAGATTGTATTAGAAATCAATCCTTAGTAAGAAGTGTAAAAGCTTATCAAAATCTTATAAAAAGTATTTTTAAATACTGCCCACTTATGAATGAGTTTGGACATAAAGACCTTTAGATTTCTGACTTATGAGCAGTCCAGACAACTGCACTCAACACATGCCACTGTTCAATTAGAAAATTGCAATAAACCAGTAAGTTGAACTAAGAAATTAGACATGTGAATTACAACCAAGTCAGTTACAGCTATCATGCCTTTCTTCCTTCAAATGCTAAGATACAATTAATTGTCTTAGCATTGGATTGACTTTGAATCAGAATCCAGGTTTCCAACCTGTGGTTGGAAAGAGGTAAAAAAAAAAAATCAAGAAAAATAAGGCTGTTAAGCTTCATTGTTTCATTTTTCTTAACTCCACCACCTTCAAGGCAGTTGCTTCAATTCCAACAGCAAACAAGTATAATTTTATGCTACAGGCTGCTAAAAAAAATAATCAGTTGACCAGATGTAATTCTATTTTTAACTTTATGGCTTGTAAGGGAAATATCCAAAATTTCATTTGCTAGTAAAAATCTGGCAGAAGAGAATGTGACTTCATACTGTGGAAGACATTAAAAGGAGAGCAGGCTACTTTGCTTGAAGGCTGCACTGTTTGTTCATGATCTGTTACTATCTGATAGATGGCTATGAAATATGATATACGGAATATGAAATATGGAATATGATATATGGAATATGATAGATGGCTATGAAATAGCCACCTATGCTAGGGTCAGACTGTGCTTACAACTGGATTGGGTTTCCATTAGCAAATCCTTGACTGTGGCATTATCTTAAACCTCATAGAAAGTATTAGCTTTTTGAGATGTAAATTGTTTACCATTGTTCCAGTTACTCCTGGAAAGACCAAAACATAGTGGATACTGCTGAAAAAAGGAAGAGAAGAAAAATGCAACTAGTCCAGACATGACAGGGATTTTTATAAAAAGTCTAGGCCAGTTTCTCTTGCCTGCTAGACAAAGATCAGTGTACCACTGAACACAGCCAACACTTGATGTCCAACAAACCCTAAGAATAGTATATAAGGACACTATCCTATGCTGTCTACAACCTGTGCCCAAATGTAACACTTAAAAGGGAACTCTTATGTTACAGCAGCTGAGGCTGTCTCACAAATTTACAGGTATGTAGTCAGGAAGGCAGTTTTGTTCCACAAGTTTCTTCCAGATACATTTAAGTACTCTGGGAGTTTTTTTTCCAGTGGTCTCTATACAAGCTTGTGATAACTTGTACTGGTTTCAACCTGCAAGATTATTTACAGCAATACATAAGCATCTTGAGCCGTTTTGGAATTTTTCCCTATTCTAACCAATAGTGCTGTGTGATACTACCTGTCATGCAGTTGACTCACAGCACCTGAAAAATAGGTAATACGTCAGCAATTAATGAAGAGTGTCCTTTACACCTGGCAAAATGAGAAATTCCTACTGGCACTCTAATATTAAACAGTAAAGTCAGGTATTACTTCACCACTGCTACCATTTTATATATTCCTCTTTCCTCCTTTCCACATTTCACGTAAGAATTCATAACAAAGCAAGATGGATTTAGAAATATTGTAGCGAAGTCTAAACTATTTCTCAGTTACATACAGAAAGCCTCTTCAGGTGACATCAGTTATGGGAAGTTAACACTTGCAAAAATCTCCTCAGTCTATACATAATGAAAAACCTAATACATTGTGTAACTACTTCAGTTCATGCCAGATTCTTGACTTAGCATGACTTATTGCAAACAGCAAAATCCTCTGTACAAATATTGAGCAAAGAGATATCAGGTGTTAGAGCAGCCTTTGCTGGCAAAGATGTATCTAGATAAAAATGGCTTCTATACAGTGCTGAGTAGCATCTTCTGCTATTTACACCTCACTGACTTCAGAACCGAAAAAATGAATTTTATCTTCAGCTTGAGTGAACAGACTTTCTACTGAACATCAGCTTTTAGTGTTTCAGAGCTGTTAGATTAAATAAAAAAGTGTGGATATGTACAAGTATCTACAAGTGTGTTAAGATACCCATCTGAACAAACTGGTACTAATTCAATCACTCACTAGCTGCACTAGGTGCCCCTTCCTGCCTCTCTCCAAGAGACAGTTTACATTTTAAAGTTTAACTACTGCAGCTACAACCTTCCAATACAAGAATAAAACTTTTAAATTGAAAAATCACACCCAGCAATTAAGGCTGCAGAACAATGCTTCGGTTATATCTGATTACTCTATTTCAAGAACCCCAAATAGCTTTTGTTAGTATTTAAACCATGTATTCCCACCCCACCACAGCATCACTCCTCAGAAGTGCTCCCTCAGTAAGTTTGCAGATGACACCAAGTTGGGAAGGAGTGCTGATTTGCTCAAGGGCAGGAAAGCTCTGCAGAGGGATCTGGACAGGCTGGGTTGATGGGCCAAGATCAACTGTATGAGGTTCAACAAGGCCAAGTGCCGGGTCCGGCACCTGGGTCACAACAACCCCATGCAATGCTACAGGCTTGGTGAGGAGTAGTTGGAGTGGCCCAGTGGAAAAGGACCTCGGGATGCTGGTCGACAGCCAGCTGCATGAGCCAGCAGTGTGCCCAGGTGGCCAACAGCATCCTGGCCTGTATCAGCAATAGTGTGGCCAGCAGGAGTAAGGAAGTGATTGTACCCCTGTACTCTGCACTGGTGAGGCCGCATCTCAAACGTTGTGTTCAGGTTTTGCCATCTTGCTACAAGAGGGACACTGAGTTGCTGGAGCATGTCTAGGGAAGGGCAAGGAAGCTGTTGAGGGGTCTGGAGAACAAGTCCTACAAAGGGCGGCTGAGGGAACTGTGGTTGTTCAGTCTGGAGAAGAGGAGGTTGAAGTGAGACCATATCACTCTCTACAAATACCTGAAAGGGAGTTGTGGTGAAGTGGGTGTTGGTATCTTCTCCCAAGTAACGAGTGATAGGACAAGAGGAAATGGCCTCAAGTTGCACCAGGGGAGGTTTAGACTAGATATAAGGAAAAGTTTCTTTATAGAGAGAGTGGTCAAACATTGGAACAGGCTGCCCAGGGAGGTGGTGGAGTCACCATCACTGGAAGTATTCAAAAAACATGTAGACATGGCACTTGGGGACATGGTTTAGCGGGCATGATGGTGTTGGGTTGACAGTTGGACTTGATGATCTTAAAGGTCTTTTCCAACCTTAATGATTCTGTGACTCAGAGTCAGCTGGAATTGTACTGCTAAGTAATACACAGAAACCTCAACACTGACTTCAAAACTGAACACCTTGCTCAAATGCAATTGTAGAGTGCCTTAATTTTTAAGTTTTTGAGCCAAAATCACCCTCACAGGCATCAATTTTTTTAGAACATTGAACATGCATCTCAAACTCTACTGTGGCACTAGTCCTTTTTCTTGATTCCAATGAGAGATTACTCCAAAAGCATCCTGAACAATCATCTTAACAGTTCCTCTAGATCATCACCACAACAGGAGATGTCTACTTAGAAAGTCACCAATTGTACCCAGAGTTACTCTGCAAACATACCTGGCTCAGTCTCTGTTTTCGGTGTTACTTTTTCCTCTCTTGAAATGCTCATTTCTGTCATTTGCTGTGTTACAGGCAAAGAGGCAACAGGCACATTTCTGTTTAAGTACAATGAAACACATAATTTACATTAGTTTTGCATTCATAATAAAAGCTTAAACTGTCCAGACCCATTAATACAAATTGAACAAAATTTGTTCAATTACTACTGATACACATTCCTGACCTCTGCTTCTACTGTCTTCAAAACCCATTTTTTCCTCTATTTTAGTTTCCCTAGAAGAAACCAGGCAAATATTTCTCCAGATAAATAAAAAGCGTATTTTAAACGGAGGAGTCCAACACCAAATATTTTAATCAGTTCTCATTTAAATAGATTCAGAAAGCACTGCCACGTAGACTGTCCCTTTTTCCTCTGCAGAAACTCACTGCAATTGCTGTAGGCCTTCAACTTGCTGCACACTCACAGCTCATTCAAACCTCAAAGTAATACCTTCATCTTACCTTGATTTTTCAGATGTGCTGCCAGCAGCACCTTCACAGTTGTTTAAGCTAGTGTCTGATCTCTGTACAGATGCAGAGTCTGAGGTAGGGCTGTTTGAACCACTGGCTGTTCCTATGTAAGAAGAATTTGACAATTAGTTATTCACAAATTGTAGAATACATGTTAGACAAATAGGCTTGCATGCAGCTATGAACTCTCTGCATACAATCCTCTCTGCTGCTGCATATTACCTCTTAAAGACAGGCTACGCTGCTAACAACCAAAATACAGAGACTGTATAAGAATATGGCAACAGAGGAGGCTAAGTGGGAAAAACCAAGTTATGGTTGAATGCCAAGTGGACCAGAACACATTACAGATAAAAACACATTTCTGTGTACTGTGATTTAAAGTCGTATTCTTTTTGATAAGTCACTGTTTTAATGCACACGTCTCCAAAATTCTCCTGAAAAATAAAAAATGTTCTGGGATTCCTTGTCATCTTCTGTATATTATATTTTAAAAAAAGTAAAAAAACTACAACACCTACACACCCTTACCCATTGGGCTGATTCTATCACTATTCTGCTGTCGCTGAAGATGCTCTTTGTAGCAAACGGAACACATCCCATTTGTCCTAGGGTTTCCATAAAATCCACATCCTGTACTACACAGCATGGGCCCTGGGGTCTGGTTTGTCTCCTGAGTCATCTCGATGCTGTAAATAAAACCAAGAACTGCATTAGGAGCTGGCATGTCACCAAAAGCAATTACAGGGTTATAGAATTAAAGTATGTCTGCTCACCCAGCCCCCCAAACTGATATCAGCATTCTTAAAGAGGCTTATATGGATGTTAATATACCATTCAATACTGCAACTGTATTGCCAAGTAACATCGTTATGAACCTTTAAGAGAAGAAAAAGTGTCATCATACTAATAGTGAGTCATAAAGTACTTGTTGAGCACTGAGCTGTGCATGCAGGTTATGACCAAATTCAATCTGACAGCCAAAAAAGCCCTTTATTACCAACCTCTGAGCACTAACAGGGATATGCAGAGTATACAAGACCACGTTCACATCTACTAAACAGTTCTGGCAAATAACAGCTTATTTCCCCCCCAACTCCAGCAGAAAAGCCCCACTTTCAGTAGTGCTGATTTTGCATCATTTTGATGCTAATTCCACTATTAGGAGTTCCTACTCTCACAATACATTTGTCGAAGAAAACAATAAAAATCCCTGAAGTATTGGCAGCAGCCATTTCAAGTCTGTGTTCTTACCTTTAGAAGGAGTGTCCAGAACACCCCTCAAATTGATTATGAAACCTGATACAGAGTACTAACTGGCAACAACATGTTTAAAACGGGCCCTTCAACTGAGAATCTAAAGAGCGTTTCTGAAATAAGTTTAGACCAGGTTTTACTCTCCCAAGAGAAATAAAATAAACAACTGCAAACTGTTGAATGTGTTCTATTACACAGCCTACAGATTAAAAAAAGAGCCAGTTAAATCTCTTGTCTTAATATACAGCAAGATTTCTGAGCCTGCCAGAGGCAGACAATGCTAACTCTCTGCCAGGAACTACAGAAGTTAGGAATAAAAATATTTCACCTTCACTGCTGGTTAACCTCTGCAAAGCAAGGTTAGTAGAAAAACTGAACAGCAACCAAATCCTTGATCCCCAAGGGCAATAAAACTGGAACACAGTAATCAAGCAATCTGCTACAAATTGAGGACACGTAAGAATATTGCACTTGTCCTCGCAAAGTTTAGATTTAGTAGCTACAAGCATTGTACATAGCACCTGGAGACATTTTAGTGTCATCTCTAGATTGCTGTCCCCCTATTCAGGAACAGAATAAGAGATTTGACTGCTGTCAGAGTCACAAGCTCATGCTTGTGAGAAGTCAAAACATCAACAGCAAATTCATTACAGTGTACAGAGAAACACTTCTTTTAATTAAGAAATCCCACACTGCAAGTAGTAAACTTATGTTCCACTACTATGACAACCACAACTGACAGCTGCCTTTGTCCAGTTAAACTAGATTCCTGGGATCAAAGTAAACAGAGCAGGAGAAAGTAAACAAGCAAAATTCACCTGCTAGCCTGCTGATGGTCACAGGACCTCATTTTCCAGGTGTAAATAGTTGCATTATTTATGTCTTTATAATACCTTCACAATATAAATAGTTTTCTTTCAAGACTGCGAAACATCTTCACACTTACTCTGATAGTTTTACAGCCATACATACCAGTCAAGGGAGTCAGAAGAAACCATGACCCACCTAAAGAAACCTAAAAAATTATCTTGTCATCTATATTGTAGGCCTGTGTCTACACAGTAGAGACCGTACTTCTGCCCTTTTATTGAGCAGGTAAGCTCGAAGGGCTATCGAACACGCTGCCACCACCGACCTCAACTGCCTTGCTCCACTTCTAAATCAGCGTGAGGTGAACACGTTTCACCGCTTACTAAACCCAGCTTTAGGTGCTAATTGCTGGTATTCTCCTACTACAAACCAGAGCCTCCGCAGCGCCCCGTCAGCACACGCTCCCACCGCCCGAAACGCACGCCCCTAACCGAAAGGTCAAACCGTTGTTACCCGACCCTCGGGCAGCCGCGTTTTTCCAGGCCCGGGAAGGTGCCCCCCGGGCGTCACCCGTGCTTCTGCTAGAGGCGCCTACCGCCGGC